CCAACTGGATGGCTGCCGTCAACCCACCCCGGTGAGGGCGCTCGCCTCTACGAGGCCGTCCACGCTATTGGCAAGGAGCTCTGCCCCGAGCTGAAGATCTCGATTCCCGTCGGAAAGGACTCGACCTCGATGAAGGCGTCGTGGAAGGACCGCGAGTCTGGCAAGGCACAGAGCGTGACCGCGCCCGTCTCCGCCATCATCACCGCTGTCTCTGTCGTCGAGGACGTCAGGCGGACGTGGACGCCCCAGCTCCGCCGCGTCGAGGACGTTGGCGAGACCATCCTGATGTACGTTGACCTTGCCGAGGGCAAGCAGGCCATGGGCGGCTCAGCGCTCGCCCAGTCCTTCGGCCAGCTCGGTAACGAGGCCCCCGATGTCCGCAACGTCGGTCTCATCACGGACTACTTCGACGCTCTCAAGCAACTCCACGAGAGCGGCGTTGTGCTCGCCTACCACGACCGCTCCGACGGTGGTCTCATCACGACCATCGCCGAGATGATGTTTGCCGGTCGCTGCGGTGTTGAACTTCTCCTGGATGGTGTCGCCAAGTCCGGCTCAGCGGCCGACGTCCTCGAGGCCCTCTTCAACGAGGAGCTCGGTGCCGTGTTCCAGGTTCGCAAGTCGGACGAGACCAACTTCAAGCGCTGCTTCGCCACCTGCGGACCTCCCAAGGGCCTCATCCGCAAGATCGGCGTTGTCAAGGCCACCTCCAAGCAAGAACTCACCATCCGGTACCAGGACCCGACGCCTATCGTCAACCTGGACCGCGTCGAGATGCAGCAGTGGTGGTCGCGCACGTCGTACGCCATGCAGAGGGAACGCGACAGCCCGGCGCACGCCGACAGCGAGTTCGCCACCATCGCCGATTCCGAGGACCCGGGCATCTCCTTCAACCTCAAGTTCCAGCCCAAGGAGGACATCAACCCCCTGACGGCGACGGTGGGCAGCTTCTTCAAGAACGCACCCAAGGTCGCCATCCTGCGCGAGGTCGGCGTCAACAGCCACGCCGAGATGGCGTTCGCCTTCAAGGCGGCTGGCTTTGACCCGATTGATGTTCACATGAGCGACATCCTCGCAGGCCGCTCGCTGCGCGAGTTTGTCGGTCTCGCCGCCGGCGGCGGCTTCTCGTACGGCGACGTCTTCGGCGCCGGCGTGGGTTGGGCGCAGTCCATCCTCGAGCACAAGCACGCACGCCAGGAGTTCGAGGCTTTCTTCAACCGCCCAGACACCTTCTCCCTAGGCGTCTGCAACGGTTGCCAGATGATTACGAGGCTCAAGGAGCTCATCCCCGGCGCCGCAGACTGGCCCACCTTCTCGCACAACGCCAGCAGGCAGTTTGAGGCCCGATTTGGCATGGTCACCATTGACGACAGCCGCGCCGCGACGCCCTCCGTCTTCCTCCACGGCATGAGCGGCTCGTCCCTCCCCATCGCCGTCTCGCACGGTGAGGGCCGCGCGACGTTCGCCTCGCCAACCCAGCTCGACACGCTCGGCGCCGAGGGTCTCGCGCCGCTACGCTACGTCGACAACCGCCGCCGCATCGCCGAGCCCGAGTGCTACCCGGCCAACCCCAACGGAAGCCCCGGCGGCGTGGCCGGTGTCCGGAGCAAGGACGGCCGGGTCCTCGCGCTCATGCCGCACCCCGAGCGCACAATCATGGCCGACGTGGCCAGCTACGTGCCGCCCAGTCAGATTGAGGAATGGGGCGAGTTTGGCCCCTGGGTCAGGATGTTCAAGAGCGCGCGCCGGTGGGTGGGCTGAGCTGAGCTGAGCAAGAGCAGCCAGCCAGTCACTCGGCGCGAGCGTGGAGCGTGGAGATGATGATGGGGGAGATCTTCTCCTTTCTCTACTTTCTCGTGTCCCCCTCTCTTGTCTTTCAACCCCTCGTTTCCCTCCTCCCCCTCCCCTTCCCCTCCCCCCGCACCATCAGCAGCAACTGCCAGATGGTCGGTCAGAAAAAGCCAGTTCCTCAATGATACGCGTATACATGTTATATGCGACGTGGAGAGGAGCTCGATAGAAAGAAAGTCATGTCCCCTTGGCCACCGCACGCGCCGTGGCACCAAGCACTCATCGATCTCGTTTGTTTTAGTGGTGGTTTATTCACACTCCCCCCACCGCGCCCGGAGTTATTGCGTCTAGCAGGGTAGTAAGTAGGTAGGATGGTTGGTTGGTCCTAGAATATCTGGAGAAATACAAAAAACTGGTTACCGTTCGTCACAGCCGTGTCTCTGCCTCGCATATCGAAACCAGAGCGCGCGCCAGTACGCGGAATGCTCACCTGCCCAGCCTGCTGACACCCCTTCGGACCCCGTCCTCCAGTGGCACAACGGTATGCAGGGGTTGAACGGAGCACCCTGGAGACCAAGCAGACCAACAGCCGGGAGGCGGATGGAGAGAGAGGATCTGCGCATCCTCTTGGGCTTCTCGAAGAGGCGTCTCACCCGTGCTGCCCTTTCCCCGCTCCGCCTCTGCCCCCCTTGGTGTGGCGGCTGCTCACCGATGTGGTGTTGCTGCCCACGGTGCCCTGGTCGATCGTAGCCGAAGGTACAGCAGTAGCAGCATCGGCATCGGCAGCATTCAGGTACATGTAAGCCTAGAAATAGACGACGCGGTATGATAAAGTGGAAGGGAAAGGCGAGGCAAGGGGGGAGGGGGTGATGATGCAGTGAGCAAGTTAGGCAATAAGGGGTCGTCTTGTCCGCTCCCCGTTGACGCTGGGCGTTCCCGAAAGTCTGGTCACTTTCTGTTGTAGGATCAATGTCCGCGTTCGCATCGGGTCATGTTGGCACTATCGTGGCGGCCGTACATGGGGGGGGGGGGGGGGCCATGTACCGAAAAAAAAAAATATTCCACCGTCTTTCTGTATGGGAGGGTGTTGGGACCCCCCCACACCCTGACATTTTTGCTCCCCCGGGGGTTTCTCCATTTTTTTTTTATATCTTTATCTTTCCCTGTCTTCTTGTTTTTTGTTG